ACCTTTTCGGGAAGTCTCACTAAGATTGTCTCATACCAAATTTGGTAAAGATTGTGTGGCTCTAAATCATTCTTACTTTATTCTTACTTTATCAATTAATATCAAACACACAAAACCACTTTTCTTAATACTCGTGCCACCTTCTTCCGTTCCAATCTTAGTGGGATGGAGGTAGTAGTTTTTTCTTATTTTATTGATAAAATACATTTTAAATATAATTTAGCACTCTGTATAATTTAATAGATTAAGTCTATTCACCAAGTCACGGGATTATCCAATAATGACTTCCCATGATATGCTTCCCATCCATCGCACAAGATTATTGATAGTACATCTGAGTAGATGTTATGACACATTGATACCGTTACAGCTAAAAGGGCATCGTTTGTCTATCAAAACCCTACATTATCCACGAAGGACACTGTTTTGTCTCTTTCAGGGTTTGCGTTGCGCAAGGAAAGTGCTTAGAAAAACATAAAGAGCTTACCGTGTGAACTTCCGGCCAAGGATTGCAAGTTCTAGGAAAATGCTTCCTTATATCATCTCATTCACTACCAAAACTATGACACTTGTATCAACTTTGGCAAAAAAGATTAATTAATTTCAAAAGATAGAATAAGCTTCCAAAATTGTTTCAATGAGGAGACCACGCTCCCATTTTCAACCACACCTTTTAATAAACATATCAAATTATGTTTCTGAATTGCAATACTTCCCATAAAACAGGGTTGTGAAAGGTATCTAGGTGGCTCTTCAATTGCACTCGAGTGGGCAAGGGTTTAGGCTGCGTTGGAAGGATTATATAAGAGATTAACACTTAATGAAGATCATAGAGAGACTCTGACCAATTTTTTTCAGATTCGAAAGGGGGGGTTAGAAGGTTGATGGTGATCGAACACACTGATTCACTTTTACACAGTGATGGACCCGGGCCGGGTCGGGCCTCAGGTCTGGTAGAGGTTGGCCCAGGACCGGCCCGGGCTATGGCCGGTTCCGGTTCGGGCCGGGTCACGGGTCGGGCCACCCACCGGGCCGGGCCGGTTCAAATTTTTTTAAAAAAATAATTATAGATTATACAAATTCCTATCAAAAACAAAGTTCAAGTGTATTTATTTGAAATAGGAACTACATTTGAGAATTGAGAAAAAAATAACAATACGAAATACATTTTCTAATAAATATCAATTGGGATTTCCGCCACCGTTGGTTGTTGTTTTCCCTTTGTCACAGGACTTCATATGTTTTATTGGCATCCCGTATCCGTGTGAACGCCCCAAGCTACACTCTTTCTTGCACCACTAGCAAGTTGCCCACCACAGTCCGGTCTTCGGGTCCTTCCAGTTATCAAAATTGTTTTGCATAAGGGAAGATGTATTTTCCATCTTTAAAATGGTATATGTAGTATAAGTAGGAATGTAGGATAATAAGAGAAGATGAAGACGGAGAAGAGTTGAAGAAGAGGTGTAGAAAAATGTTGGAAAATGGATGTATTTATAGATGTTTTGAACCCCACTCCCCACACCACCACCCCCGGGACCCCCCTGCCCCCCACCCAAAGCCCCAACGGATATATAGCCGTTTGGGAGGTTTTTTAAAAAAAAAAAATATTAAATCTTTTTTTTAAGTTATACATATTGTAAAATAAGTTAATTAATTTAATGAATTAAGTAAAGCTATTTGTACTTAGAAAAGTGGTTTGATTTATAATTTACAAATGTTACAAAATTGGTGTACAAGTATTTAAACAAATTACATATTGTAAATGTATTTTTAATTTAAAAACCGCCTTTAGATTTTAGAAAAATAATTTTAAGTCGTAAGTTTGTAACCAATTAATTAATTAATATGAAAAAATGAACGCATATTTATTTGAAATATGAAGTACAAGTTTACAAATTAATTTGAAGTACAACTACAAATTTACAATTTTGAAATATGAAGTACAAGTTTACAATTTTGAAACATGAAGTACAAGTACAAATTAATTTGACAAGTGCTACAAAATACATTTTATAATAAATTCTAAAATACTAATCAACCGGAATCTCCGGCATAGGTAGAGCCACCATCGGTTGTTGAGTCATCCATAAAATCTTGGGAGGGGGTGATGCTCATTTCTTGAGTTCTACGTGCGGCCTTCAACCAATCGTGGTAGCATATAAGCGTCTCAAGAGACTCTGCGCTCAATCTCGATATAGATGCCGTTAGGACGTTGCCGGCCGAACTAAATTCTTGTTCCATTGAAACCGGCATTGATAGTACTTGCTTAGCCATCCGTGCTAAAATCGGATCCGTATCCGCCGGAGGTCCCCAAGCTATAATTGTTGTTGCACTACTTGCAAGTTGCGTGCCAATAGTCAGTTTGTGGGTCCTTCCACTTATCAAAATTATTTTGCATTAGTTCAGATTTACTTTTTTTATTACCGGTGGCGGTTTGGGATGAGGCAGGCTCGTCGGCGTCGTGGCTTCCGGCACCCTCCTCCTCGGCCGTCTCCGGTTCCATTTCCTCCGCATCTTCATACTCAAGCTCCTCTTCGTCAATGGTTGTCGGGATTTGTTGTTGTTGTAGAAAGCGGTTATTATGTCGGGCCAATTCTTGTTGTAGTTGTTCTTCGGACATCGCATCTCCATCTCGCCTTTGGTAACCCGTTTCAAAATCATCTCGGATTTGAGATGAAGAGCCGGCAAGTTCTTTACCTTTACGGGATTTCTTCCTCCCAATCTCGTTCCTTCGATTGCGTTGGAGGTTACCCAAATCAACCGAATATCTACCACCTTCCATCTTAAAAATGTAACAAATATTAATTGGCAACAAATATAATAATGAATACAAAACTAATGCAACTAATTAAAACTATTTTAATTAATACTTCAAACTAATTTAGTGCAAAGTAGAATTAATGTGTGACTCTAAAATTAAAATTATAGCAACTTTTCAAGTACTTTAATTTAGTAAAAACTACTTAAATAAAATGTTAAGTAGTTTAATTAAATGATTGAACTACTATTTTTTCGTTCAAATATAAATTGAAAATATTCTAATGTGACTTTAACTATAATGACAATTAACTACTTTTTTGAAGTAGAGTTGTTTTAGCAATTAATGGGAATACTAATGAACTAATTAACTAGTATAATGAAAAATGTAACAAGAATGCTAATGAACTAATTAACTAGTATAATGAAAAATGTAACAAGACTACTAATAAACTAATTAACTAGTATAATGAAAAATATAACAAGAATATTAATTAACTAATTAACTAGTATAATGAAAAATGTAACAAGAATGCTAATGAACTAATTAACTAGTATAATGAAAAATGTAACAAGAATGCTAATGAACTAAATAACTAGTATAATGAAAAATGTAACAAGAATACTAATTAACTAATTAACTAGTATAATGAAAAATGTAACAAGAATACTAATTAACTAATTAACTAGTATAATGAAAAATGTAACAAGAATGCTAATGAACTAATTAACTAGTATAATGAAAAATGTAACAAGAATACTAATTAACTAGTATAATGAAAAATGTGACAAGAATACTAATTAACTAGTATAATACTAGTTATAGTAACTAATATATAATATAATGTTTATAGTATATAATATATAAGTATACTACTATAAGATGAGTAATACACTTATATTTTATACTTTAATATATAAATTATATATTAAGTAGATGTAGAATGTATGTATTAAGTGGATATAGTAATTGTATAAGAATTAAATATTAGAGTATAATGGAGAATTGGAGATTGGAGAATAAGAAAATAAGTATATATGAAATATAAGTAGAGAAGTAGATATTATTATGTATTAAGTATATAGTAATAGTTTATAAAGTATATTTAATACTTTAATATATAAAGTATATATTAAGTAGATGTAGTATGTATGTATGTATTAAGAGATATAAGTAGAGATTAAGTAGATAAGAAATATAAGTAATATAGTATATGTATCTATAAGTAGATAATTAATATATAAGTAGATATAATAATTGTATAAGTATTAAATAGTAAAATAAAATATAAGAGAATTTGAGAAGATGAATATGGAGATGAGTAGAGAGTAGGATTTAGGAAGAGTTGGAGAAGAAGTGTGAAAAAATGTTTAAAATTAGGAGTATTTATAGGGTTTTTTTAACCCCCACCCCCAAAGGCCCCGGACCCCCCCTGGTACCCACCCAACGGCTATATAGCCGTTTGGGAAGTGGGTCAAGAGCCCAAAAGGAGTTTTTAAATTAAAAGGGAAAAAAAAATTTAAAAAAAAATAGACCATTAGGCCCGGGGGCCCGGGCCGCCAAAAACAACACCCGAGCCCGAACCTTCCACCCCCACCAGTTCGGTGCCCGAACCGGACCCGGACCCGGGAACCGGGCCGGTTCCGGGCCCGCACAATAACGGGCCGGGCCGGGCCGGGCAGCCCGACCGGGTCCACCACTTTATTACACTCATTGTAAACATACAGTTTGTCCAAAAATGAATAAGAATGTTTATACTTGGACCAAAATTTGCTGGTAGGATCTAGTCTGATCTGCTTAAATCTGGTCTAGCTTGAACTGGTCTAGTCTGATAAATGTATGGCCTCTGTGTATTTTATACTACGAAAGTCTGATTTGATCTGTTTAAGTTTGGTTAGTCTGATATGATCTGTTTAAGTCTGGTCTGGAACTGAAAACAGTCCAAGCAAAAACATCCTAAATTATCTTATCTATGTATATATGTCATTTTTGGATAAATTTTCTATGTACATACACGAGCATAAAGTGTATAAAGAAATTAGAAATGACAAATAGAATTTTTGTAAAAAAATTGCACCCTCATAAATTTTCTAGAAAAAACCTCATTAAGCTAGCGCACATGAATTGTGCGGAATTATTTAAGTTCATTTAACACGTTATTGCGCGTGGAAAGGTAGCCACTAATTCATTACATCTTTTTATGATATACGGAGTATTTTTTATTTGACTCCATTATTCATGTCTGAACTTTGCACGTCAACTTTTTATACTTTTTACGGTCACTGGTGAAGTTACAGTTAAGAGAAACTAATCAGTTTCGTTTTATATATATTGGTCAATTGTAAAAGAAAAAACCACCAGTTATAAACACATCGGTTTGTTTAAATCATGTACATGTTTCTCCCACTTGAGAAGGGCTTCCATCAAATTCACAGGAAATCTCTTAAATATCATGTTTCAAGCATATTCACATCGTTCTCCAGCATGTGGACAAGGCATTCAACAGGAAATCTCCTCAAATTCTAACACCTGGAGAATACAAAATGAAAGTGTCAAATTAAAAATGATGTCACACGAATGAGTTTAAATTTTACCCATGTAAAAATCTAGTTATGCAACAGAGCATATATGTAAAAATGCTCTTATTCTGCCAATGTACAACTTTCGTCATAGAAGAAGTTGCATCATATAATGGTTATTTTCCCATTCCCATACGAAACAGGAATACTCGAAGATTATTCTTTGCACTTATATGCCAAGCACTTACGGTTAAAGTAAAATATATGTCCTGACTGTCTCACGTGATATACAAAAGTCAATAGTAACGACGGGAAATTAAGAGAGCATCTTACCACACCACAAATAGGACATGTTTCACTCCTTTCCTGCCACTCAAAGATGCAGCTAAGGTGGTAATGGTGGGAGCACTTGGTGATTATTTTGGGGTTGTCAATAGTATAATCTGCAAGACAGAACTCTTAAGTAATTAAATAGTTCATCATTTTCAGAAGAACTGTTAACCCAGTGGTTAAATAGTTAATACATTATTAAGACGAACCGAACAGATCCTAAGTCCCTATTAACTTTCTTTTGAAAAAAAAATGATTCTGTCCTTGACTAAGCATTTTAGATGCAATTTAGTCCTCAGACATACTTTAGGGGCAGTTTACTTTAGACTTCATTTGAAATTCAACTTACTTGTACAGTAAAAAATGATTTAATCCTTTAACTCTTATATAGTACTCCTCCCAGGTCCTGGCTATGACATGCATTGAATCAGCTATTTCTGATACCTTTACGGAACATACTTGTATGTGTTATTACGTGAGATAACTCATTAACAAGACTACGCAAAACAAATCTTAAATTAGTCTTTATTCAGCACACAAAATAAATAGACTTTACACAACGATCACTTAGTCTAGAGAGATGTCTGAACTAAAATGAACATATTTTACTTTATTAGGAAGGGTAGTTTCATCCGTGGAGGACTAAATTGGGTCCAAATTACATCCCGGATGACCAAATTGAGTCCTAAATTGGGTAAAAAAGAGTGAATGAATAAAAATATTGTTCTTAGAACCAAATATGTATTAGAACAAAATTATGTCCAAATTGCACAGTTGAGGACCAAATAGAGTCAAAAAGAAGTCGAGGACCAAATGGAGTCATAGTGTATAGTTGACAAACTAATGAATTGGGTATTAACTCAATTTGAATTGAAGGCATAGACAGATAAGGTAAAGAGGAAAAAAACCTTCAAGGCAAGTAGGGCAGACATCCTCTTCTTCTGACAATGGAATTGGATATCCTGGCTCAACTTCTAAAAACGAGAGGCAAGCCTTAGGGGCGCAAAAGTCCTTATCACAATCCAAAACAACCTGTTTGCTTTTACTCGTAAGCTTCCCAAGTAGTTCAAAATCAGCATTAGAAATATTTCCTGTCTGTGAATGGCTTGAGCCTCTCTCTAATTTCCTGATTTCAATTTCTTGGTATGCCTGTGGACCTCTTAAACTGGCATTGTTTTGTGAAATTGTATCCTCCGGATCTGCCAAGGCCACATCCTGATAATTATTACTGTTATTGCGGACTTGGGGTTCCCCTCCACCAAATAAAGCTTCATACTGCAGGAAAGTAATGCTCCATTCAGATTACATCAAAGATAACTAGATAGGATATGACTTTGAACTTACTTCACAAATTCACACATACCAAAATAAAATAAAATAAAATTCCCCATAACTGTTATAATCAACCTCAAAGTGATCTAAAGCAGTGACATCCAGTCATAATTCCTTATACATTAAAGATGGTATATATTAAGACTTGGAGCATCATCCGGACAAGTGACTCATTCTATTATATATTGGTATAATATGTTACACTGTCAGTGTAATACAAATTTCAAATTCTTCAACGCGTGATTAGCCAAACCGAGCTATACAACTTGAGAAGTGGATAAATAGGTCAAAAAGACTAAACATGGTTCTAAAAATAATGGATGTCAAACAAACAATCAAACAAAAGCTTGGCCTAGCTCTTATATCATATTAAGACTCGTGACTCCATCTTAAAATGTTAACTTGAAAGAAGAAGTAGCTCAAAATCTTATATAGTGTTATTTAATATTTTATACTTTGGCGGGTATACCGCCAATCAGATGAGAGGCATGTTGTTCGAATATCAAGCCAAGTTCCACATAGAAAACATAAGAAACAATTTCCTTGAATAAGTAGCAAACCAAGTATTAACAGCTTTGGGAGTTGCCTACTCTCAATAACAGATAATATCATACTCATGTGCAGTTAAGGTTAGATTTATTGTCCTAGGATGTAGCCTTAGTGTCGTTATTTTAGTGTCATTATTTTAGGTCAGACCTTTTGGATGACACCTCAAATCTTAATATAGTGAACCAATAATATGTCAATGCAATGTATTTCAAAATCATGTAAAACTAAAAGGTTTGCAAGAACAAAACGGGAACTGGGAAGGGAAATAGCTTATAATGTATCCGCACCTGATATATTAAATCTTGTAACCGAAAATTTAAACACAAGAAATCATTCGGAGAATTTGAGGTAACATCATCCGAGAGTTTGAAACAACAACAGGCGGCACCCATGATGTATCCCTGTCCTTGAATTTTTTTACTGCAGTAAAGACTCCACCTCCACAGAACAAGTTTCACAGATAAAACAACCTGAGTTTCCAAAAGAGGCAAAGTGAATTACACCCTAAAAAAAATTCGCATGGTGAAATTCACGAAAACATAATGAACTAGCAGTCCTATATTCTCTGTCTTTCTTTTCTTTTAGCAATTACTGAGAAACTGAATTATTGAACTATTGCAGGCAAATCCAGTCGATGATTAACTAAGAAAGCAATAAGAATAGAATAAGCAAATTGAAGAAATAATACCGTAGGAAGAATGCGTTCCTTTGAGAAGGAGTTGACTTGGGACGCAGACTTCGGAAAATTCGATACAAGGACGGACGGATCAACCAAAAGGGTTTTAAGGCAACGAGGAATCAAAACAAGAAAGAATTTTCTATTCTTTAGGGAGAATTTTGTATCAAGAAAAATTCCGAAATTTGAAGTACTCCTCCGTACGTTACAATTTTGTCATATGACCTTTCACAATCGTACTCGGGTTATACTTCGTACCATATTATTACAAGTACATAAATTGTTACAAACAATACTATGTATGCCTTCGAGAGGTTTGATATTATCCAATAGAACTTCGTATGATTGAATATTCAATAAAATATAACAGATTTGAAATATTACGAATCTTGTTACTTATTACAACTAAAAAATTATGAGTTTTTTCCTAAAATAATGCTAATTAAATAAACAAATCTCAAAATACTGTTGGGTTAAAAGTAATTCCCAAAATACTGCTGATTTAATTGTAGTTAAGAAAAGTCGCCACTTAAAGTGGCGGTTCTTCTCTTACAGTACAAAAGTTGTCACTCCAAGTGGCGGCTCTTCTCTTACAACACATTTTATACATATATAAAACGCAGTATGTTTTAAGAATTTTTTTAACACGATAGAATTTTAAGCTGAAATTTGGTATAAATAAACTAGACTTGATGAGGAACATTCTCAAAAAAATTCATCAACAAATTCCACCAGAAAGAAAATATGATGGTGTTCTCCACACGGTTGTCCGGGTCAGGACGTCATGACAGGAATGAGACATGTTGGGATATATTATCCCGACCTATTACTGTTTAGGAGCCCAAGACATTACTCACTACGGAGCCCGAGCAGCTAGGCCCATTTCGGCCCATCCGGCCCACTTTAGCCATTTGGGCCCACTCCGGCCCATGCGGCCCATTAGGGTGGAGAGCATCCCCTTCCCCTATTCTCTATAAATAAGGGAGTCTCCCTCCATATTAGGGATCTCCTTTTCCTTAGCTTATTCTTCTCCCTTCTCTCTAGCTAGCTTACAATACTCCATTAATGGGAGCTCAAATTGTACTATGTAATGGTGAGGAGAGTCCTAATGAGAAAGAGAGGGCTTGGACATTAGCCTAAAAAGTCCCGTGGTTTTCTCCCTTTCGGGTTTCCACGTAAAAATAGCTTGTTCATACACATTTATACATATATTTACTATATCGTGTTGGATTAAACTCAACACTGGCGCCGTCTGTGGGAATCTGTCCAAAAAGATTCACGTTGCTTCAGTTTCTACAGCAAAATTCATTCGAAAAATGGACCGATTCTCAGTAAAGAATAAAGATTCTGGAAGGGGATGAAAGAAGCAGGAAAAAAGAGAAAAAGGAGTTATGGAATCTGGAGGTTCAAATCGGGTTTGCTTCCAGATCTGGTCCGCGGTCGCCGGAGCCACCGTCTCCGCCGCCAGGAAATCCCTGGTGGGTCTAGCCGCACCAGTCGAAGGCCGCGGTAACCTCCAAGGTCTCGTCACCTCGGTCCTGGGAGACCTCCAGCGCAGCAGTGCTGTTCATCAGTCGGAGATGTTCTCCTACAACTAGAACGCAGCACCGTCGGTCATCGCCGGCGGTCAACGGCTCCTGGTCGCTCCGACACTCACCGGCCACTGCTTGGAGGATTTGTTGGCGGAGAATCTTTGAGTTTCCACCATTAATGGCAGTCCGGAGCTCTGGGAGGATACATCAGAAGCTCAACCGACCTCCCACCGAAAAGCTCACCCTCTGGCCGGCCTTGCTCCGCTGCAACCGTCGTGCCGCCCTCGATGAGTAGCCGACGCGGACGGTCTGGCCTTGGGGTCAATGAGCCGATGTCCACGTTATTCTTCCCAAAATACGGAGCACCATTCATATTGCCTTGGTACTAAGCAAACCACGTCTGCGTGCCACCTTCCTTGTAGCACAATTTTGACCAGGGAATTTTGACCAAGTCCGAACCTACTCCTCAAGAAGCTAAGTGCCCATCTTTTAAATTGATGCACGTAATTATTAATATTTAATAGTTAGAGATACTAATATTATTATTAGTTAATTAGTTTTTATCACCATTATTTAAAAGGGAGTAATTTTTCCCAAAATTAAATAATGCGAGCGATGCTCTAGTGATAATTCATTTCACCATCATTTAAATTTAATGATTGGTTGTTGTGGGCCTGTTGGCCCACCCCCGATTGGCTTTAATTAGCGAACGGAGCATACCTGAATGACCTTTGATAGGATAATATCATTGTTGCTACCCGTACATCACCATTATTTGTTAGGGATAAAAATGTCCCGAAATAAATAACGTGGAGTGAAGCTCTAGTGATGGTTGGTTCAGCCAACATTTTATTGAATATTTAATTTCTTGTGGGCCTGTTGGCCCACTCTCGATCAGCTTGATTAAGTAGTCCGAGCGTCTCCAGAAGGGCGATGCCCCGACGACGCGTTTTAATTTGGGGGTTACGCATTAGTCCGCACGGCACCAAGTGCCCGAGCGACGATCGTACCCTAGTACCATCTGCGCCGCTAGGCGCAAAGTGACTGTTGCCAAACGCGGTCGTGGGGCTCGAGGGCACCAAAGCACTCAACCTCGTTTTTTCCGAGGGCAGTGCGACCAACTTGGGTCTGAGTTTGAAAACTCACAGACCGATGAATATCTCGATGTGACGTTCGGCGGGCTGCTAATTGGCCCCGCCGCGAGCTGCCACGTCCAATAACCCCGCACGATGAGTCGGGCTGAGGGTCACGAGAACCCATAGGCCGGTAATCGTGGATGTTAAATAGAAAGCCATGCAGATGGTTATGTGTGTATACATATTGTCGGGCCGTGCGGCCCGTTACCATGCTTATTGCGCAGCTGAAGCCGCTCGACGCGCTCGAGCGAAATGATTAAAAGACGCTCGGCCCGAGTCTTGTAGACGTTCAGGACCAGCTAAAGAGGAGACCATCACGGCTGAGGACCGTGAGACGAGCATCTCCACCCCAGAGACCGATGGCCTAGGAAAGAACACCTTGTAGCCGAGGGTCTAGAGGGGACTACCACGACGGAGAATCGTGAGACGGTCACCCATCATTCCGAGGCCGAGGGCCTAGAGGAGATCGTCACGGCCGAGGGCCGTCTGACACCATCATACCATGATCGGCCTCTCGGCGCGGCATGTTCATGTTTGAAGACCGGCCTCGTCCCCGCGATGCGCGGATGAGGACCGTTGCTTGATGCTCAGATCGGCTTCATATTACCGACATCATCACAGCATGACCGGCCTCTCGGCGCGGCATGCTTATCTTTAGAAGACCGGCCTCGTCCCCGCACTGCGCGGATGAGGACCGTTGCTGGATTTCAGGTCGGCCTCTCACTGCCGACATCATGATATCACGACCGGCCTCTCGGCACGACGTTTGTTCCATACTTGAAGACCGGCCTCGTCCCCGCTCCTCGCGGATGAGAGCCGTTGCTTGATTCTTTCCGGTCGGCCTCTCATTGCCGACACCATTATACCACGACCGGCCTCTCGGCTCGGCGTTCTTATCTTTTGAAGACCGGCCTCGTCCCCGCCCTCGCGGACAAGGACCGTTGCTTGATTTTCTCAGATCGGCCTCTCATTGCCGACACTGTCATACCACGACCGGCCTCTCGGCTCGGCGTGCTTATCTTTTGAAGACCGGCCTCGTCCCCGCCACCTCGCGGACGATGACCGTTGTTTGATTCTTTCAGGTCGGCCTCTCACGGCCGACACTATTATGTTATGTTCGGCCTCTCGGCCCGACATGATTATCATATTTGAAGACCGGCCTCGTCCCTCACCTCGCGGACGAGGGCCGTTGCTTGACTCTTTCAGATCGGCCTCTCATTGCCGACACTGTCATATCATGTTCGGCCTCTCGGCACGGCGTGATTATCATCTTTTGAAGACCGGCCTCGTCCCCGCGCTGCGCGGACGTAGACTGTTGCTGGATTTCTTTCAGGTCGGCCTCTCATCGCCGACAGCATTATATCACGACCGGCCTCTCGGACCGGCGTGATTATCATATTCGAAGACCGGCCTCGTCCCCGCCACCTCGCGGACGAGGACCGTTGCTTGACCATATCTTGATCGGCATCTCATTGCCGACATTATCATACCACGACCGGCCCCTCGGCTCGGCGTGTTCATCTTTTGAAGACCGGCCTCATCCCCGCTCCTCGCGGATGAGGGCCGCTGCTTGATTCTTTCAGGTCGGCCCCTCATTGCCGACACTATCACATCATGTTCGGCCTCTCGGCACGACATACTTAACTTTTGAAGACCGGTTCCATCCCCGCGATGCGTTGGATGAGAGCCGTTGCACGGATATATCGGCCTGACCGGACACTGTTGTCATCTCCTCATCAGGACCGACTGCTCAGCGACATTATGATCATTGTTTGTCGGCTCTCAATGCCGACCCTCTTGAGTTTGCGATCGGGCTCACGACTCCCCTCCAGGAGGGTGACCATCGCCTTCGCATGACGACCAGCTATTCTATCGCCTCGTCATTATATTCGTTCGCTATGCCACCACCATTATGTGTGATATCCTGGATCCCTGCGAGTCTTGGATACCGAACGTCTTCTTCGATGTAGGAAGATCGGTAGGACCACAGACCAGGGACGGACTGAGAAGAGCTAGGGAATCTCGATGTAGATAAACCTGTTCCTCCTTGCGAGTTTCGCGGATACCGAACGTCTCTTCGAAGCAAGAGCGCCGGTAGGACCAAGAACCAAGGACGAACGAAGAATATAGATTGCCTCCCTCAAAAAAAAAAAAAAAAAAAGATGGGGAGAAGAGGAGGGTAGCTCCTATGTGGAAGGGAATCTTGTCCGGGTGTGCCAGATCTTCTCCCACCGCCGAAGACGAACGCCTCTCGATGTAGAGGTTAGTAGAGACGCGGAGGGGGCTAGACGAACCAAGGGAGCCTTGCCAAGATAAACCTGTTCATCCCACAATGACCATGGATCGATGGACGTGGGATAACAAAGACGGGAACCCGTGAGGGTAAACCAGTTCGTCCCTGCGAGTTCCTTGGGTACCGAACGTCTTCTTCGATGCAAGAGACGCCGGTAAGACTAAAAGGACCAGGGACGAACGAAAAAGGGGGAATCTCGATGTAGATATACCTGTTCCTCATTGCGATGTCCGCGGATACCGAACGTATCTTCGATGTAAGAACGCCGGTAGGACCAAGGACCAATGACGAACGAAGACTAAAAGACTCCAAAAAAAAAAAAAAGATGCCAGAAGAGCACGGAGCAAAGAATGATTTTATCCCTTGGCACTATTGGCTGTGAAGTACAAACTGAAAAACATATGTAAAGAATAATTACAAGACTTAAGTACGAAGAATGAAGTGGCCGACGACGATCGGCTAACATCAGGTTTTCTTTTGCCTCGAACGACGATTAGCTCCCCAGATCAGGTAGAAGGGACATCGCCCAGATTTATTTCAGGCTCACCATTCCTTCCCGGATGGAGTCCTGGCAGACGATCGGCTTCTCACAGCCAATCAGGAGAGAGACTTGACACATCACCAGCACGGCCGAGGGCCGTAGGACGATTACCACTCACCGACAGGCCGAGGGCCATGAGATGATCATCACTATTTTTCTGTATCACGGTCGGCCCCTCAGCGCCATCGTGTCCAGACTCACGGTTCGGCTCGCCCATTCCCTTCCAGGATGGCGACGACCGTCTTATGCAGTACGATCGGCCCCTTAGCGCCATCGTACCCGGCTCACGTTCAGCTCGTCCATCCCTTCCAGGGTGGCGATGAACGTCTTATGCATCATGATCGGCCCCCCCAGCGCCATCGTGTCCGGATTCACGGTTCGGCTCGCCCATTCCCTCCAGGATGGCGACGACCGTCTTATGCAGTACGATCGGCCCCCTCGGCGCCATCGTACCCGGCTCATGTTCGGCTCGCCCATCCCTTCCAGAATGGCGACGAACATCTCTTATGCAGCACGATCAGCGCCCCAGCGCCATCGTGTCTGGCTCACGTTCAGCTCGTCCATCCCTTCCAGGGTGGCGACGAACGTCTTATGCATCACGATGGGCCCCTCAGTGCCATCGTGTCCAGATTCACGGTTCGACTCGCCCATTCCCTCCAGGATGGCGACGACCGTCTTATGCAGCACGATCGGCTTCTCAGCGCCATCGTGTCTCTTTCACGTTCGGATCGCCCCATTCCCTCCAGGATGGCGACGAACGTCTTATGCAGTGCGATCGGCCCCTCAGCGCCATCGTACTTGGCTTCACGGTTCGACTTGCCCATTCCCTCCAGGATGGCAACGACCGTCTTATGCAGCACGATCAGCTTCTCAGCGCCATCGTGTCTCTTTCACGTTCGGATCGCCCCATTCCCTTCCAGGGTGGCGACGAACGTCTTATGCATCACGATCGGCTTCTCAGCGCCATCGTGTCTCTTTCACGTTCGGATCGCCCCATTCCCTCCAGGATGGCGACGGACGTCTTATGCAGTGCGATCGGCCCCTCAGCGCCATCGTACCTGGCTTCACGGTTCGGCTCCCCCATTCCCTCCAGGATGGCGACGACCGTCTTATGCGGCACGATCGGCTTCTCAGCGCCATCGTGTCTCTTTCACGTTCAGATCGCCCCATTCCCTCCAGGATGGCGACGAACGTCTTATGCAGTGCGATCGGCCCCTCAGCGCCATCGTACTTGGCTTCACGGTTCGACTTGCCCATTCCCTCCAGGATGGCAACGACCGTCTTATGCAGCACGATCAGCTTCTCAGCGCCATCGTGTCTCTTTCACGTTCGGATCGCCCCATTCCCTTCCAGGGTGGCGACGAACGTCTTATGCATCACGATCGGCTTCTCAGCGCCATCGTGTCTCTTTCACGTTCGGATCGCCCCATTCCCTCCAGGATGGCGACGGACGTCTTATGCAGTGCGATCGGCCCCTCAGCGCCATCGTACCTGGCTTCACGGTTCGGCTCGCCCATTCCCTCCAGGATGGCGACGAACGTCTTATGCAGTGCGATCGGCCCCTCAGCGCCATCGTACCTGGCTTCACGGTTCGGCTCGCCCATTCCCTTCAGGATGGCGACGACCGTCTTATGCAGCACGATCGGCTTCTCAGCGCCATCGTGTCTCTTTCACGTTCGGATCGCCCCATTCCCTCCAGGATGGCGACGGACGTCTTATGCAGTGCGATCGGCCCCTCAGCGCCATCGTACCTGGCTTCACGGTTCGGCTCGCCCATTCCCTCCAGGATGGCGACGACCGTCTTATGCAGCACGATCGGCTTCTCAGCGCCATCGTGTCTCTTTCACGTTAGGGTCGCCCATCCCTTCCAGGGTGGCGACGAGCGTCTCTTATGCAACACGATCAGCGCCCCAGCGCCATCGTGTCTGGCTCACGTTAGGGTCGCCCATCCCTTTCAGGATGGCGACGAACATCTCTTATACAGCTCGATTGGCCCCTCGGCGGCATCATGTCCAGTCCACCTCCGGCTCCGCCCATGCCATCTCGGATGGGGGACCCGTCTTATGCAGCATGAGTGGCCCCTCTGCGGCATCATGGCTAGTCCACCTTTGGCTCCGCCCATGCCATCTTGGATGGGGGACCCGTCTTATGCAGCACGTCTGCTTCTCGGCGCTGACATGCCCGGTTTATCGATGAGAGCCATCGCTTTCTATCACACCTCACATTCCTTCTTTCATACATTGCACCCATACATTACATGCATCCATGCATTCATGCATCATACCTCATACATTCATACATACACACGTGCATCATGTTTTGACAGTACCGCGACGTCGGTTTATAGATGCATGGACCTCTAAGCTTCTCCGATTGGAAAGCTCGAGTCAGAGTGCTTTACTCCCGCCTGATGCATTCAGGCGGAGTGTGCCCGTGGAGGAGCACCCTTCGCCCGACCCTGTCGGGAAGGGGGGGTGCCTCACTGGTAGATCACGTTCAGGAGTGCAGAAACTCACTCATATATGATGATTATGTGAAGACACAGTTTCCAGCAAGACAGAGGAAGGGCGCAGGCAGAGTATATTTTCTCGAGCAGATTCGCGAGCTCACTACTCAAGAAACTGGGGGACTTGTGTTGGGATATATTATCCCGGCCTATTACTGTTTAGGAGCCCAAGACATTACTCACTACGGAGCCCGAGCAGCTAGGCCCATTTCGGCCCATCCGGCCCACTTTAGCCATTTGGGCCCACTCCGGCCCATGCGGCCCATTAGGGTGGAGAGCATCCCCTTCCCCTATTCTCTATAAATAAGGGAGTCTCCCTCCATATTAGGGATCTCCTTTTCCTTAGCTTATTCTTCTCCCTTCTCTCTAGCTAGCTTACAATACTCCATTAATGGGAGCTCAAATTGTACTATGTAATGGTGAGGAGAGTCCTAATGAGAAAGAGAGGGCTTGGACATTAGCCTAAAAAGTCCCGTGGTTTTCTCCCTTCCGGGTTTCCACGTAAAAATAGCTTGTTCATACACATTTATACATATATTTACTATATCGTGTTGGATTAAACTCAACAAGACATTTTTATGAAATTTGAGGTGCTTCTTAGTCGAATTTTTTGATGAAATAAAAAATAGCTCATTGCCTATTTTTATCTAGGGGTGGGCAATTCGGTTTACGGTTCGGTTTTCTTCGGTTTCGGTTTGGTTTCGATTTATTCGGGTTGGGAGAATTTGTACCAAACTAAAACCATTTGTGTTTCGGTTTGGTTTTGGTTCGGTTTGGTTTGAAGTTCGGTTTACCAAAGTAAAATATATTATGTTTAATTTAGTTTGATTTGATTCGTTTGCTTATGTTTATTATTTTATTTGATCAAGTTCTATATTTTAGAATTAGAAAATGAAAGTAGTAGTCCATCTCATCTTTTTTTAATTTATTGATTATTTAAATAAAATGTAAAAGGAAATAAAAGATAGAAAAATAAATAATAAAATATATTAAATTAAAACTTCTAACATCTTTTTTATCACTACAAAAAATTCATTTGTTACAAAAAGTAAGATAGTTGATTAGCATTTATAATATCACATAAAACATTAAAAAAACCTAAAAGAGTCGGTGGTACAAATGTTGTAATATTCACAATTTTATTCAAATTAATCATGTAAAAATATAAATGCAATTTGCTATTGTTATCGCCAAACATAATAAATACAAATATGTCGTATTAGCTAACTTTGTCATAATGAATGTATGAAATGTGTAAAAGTTAAAATGATACGAGTATATGCTTAAATATGTATTTTTATGTCTAAATTATTTATTTATATCTTAAAAATGAAGAGTGAAGATAAATACAAAGTGTATATATGTGTGTGTGTTGTTCGGTGTTCGGTGTTCGGTTCGGTTTACGATTATTCCGTTTTAAACCAAACCAAAGTACCAAATCATTCGGTTTGAGCAAATGTAAACTCAAACCAAACCAAACCAAACCAAATCAAACCACCAATTTTAATAATATATGAAAGTTTTTTTGAGTTTCTTTAGTTCGGTTCGGTTTTATTCGGTTTTTATCGGTTTCGGTTTGGTTTAATACGGTTTGGAAGAAATAGTACCAAACTCAAACCAAATTGCATACGGTCCGGTTTCAGTTCAGTTTAGTTCGGTTTGGTATGGTTTAGTTCGGTTAAACCAAACCGTGATGTCCACCCCTATTTTTATCCATTAGATTTCATTTGTAGCTTGCTGTTTTTTCAAAACTAATAACTACACATTTTTGTAATTTATTAATTAATTTAATAATGAGTTTGGTCCATTTTTAAGATATCAGCCTTTCTATTATTTAGGATTGAGAAAATTAGCCCTTCTATCTCCTTCTTTGATAAAAGAGTTTAGAATAAACTACGTATAGTTTTGTGACATTCTGATTTAGTGAAGGTGATGACCGTGACAACAGACCGACTGCATTAAGCGATTGCAGCAATGATCTAGTTTACGTTAGATTGACACAAAATGAGTGTTACTGAATGAAGAGGTTGCATGCTTTAGTGGACATTTTTCCCCTAAAAGGTCAACTTAATTAAATCTATAAAAAAAATTATCACTTCAAGCGCTAGGTAATAGTCGAAAAATAAAATGATTTTTATATTTTTCTCTTAACACATTAAATCTATTACAAAAACATCTAAAGTAATTTTAATTAAAGAAAATATGAAATTTCTTAATAATAAATAAAATCTATACTAAATGAATTATTTTTCAGTAAAGTATATTTAATTGTTAAAAGTTGCAGATCCTATATAAAAATGAAAAAAAATATTTGTTCAAATAGTAATCTACAAATATTTATTATCATCTAAAAAATACAATTTTAAAAAATGTTTCGTTGTCTATTGCGGACGCAAAAATCAAATTTGATAAAAAATCGATATATAAAGTAAAAGATTACGAACATTTACGTTAACTGGAGAATAGTGAGCGGGAACCTTTAAGTGGGATAGATGTAGTATTAAAAGTCTATTGTCATAAGATGAAGAGAAAATATGGTGAAAAAAGTTTTATCTCCCAATTGAAGATGGAAGAGTCAGAAAGAAATTAAATGAAAATAGATACTCCCTCCATCCTAAATTGAGTTACTAAATTGACTTTTTGAGTCAAACAGATTCATTTTATTCACTTAATTAGGATATTTATTTTTAATTAAGATTTTATAACTTTATAGAGATTTTGATGTAGTTTCTAATATGTTTTTTTTACAAAATTGAATTAATTATCGACATGGAAGATTTAACTGTAACATTAGTTGACAAAAAATGATGACTTTACTAAACAATTTGAGAGTAGTTTTGGGGAAAAATTAGGTCATCCCCGAGAATATCAGATAATCTAAGGCATGGATGAATTTAACATTCTCCTCCATATATATTACCCCTATAAATGTAACTTTCCCGAATTTTTATAAATCCCGTGAACCAAACATGGACATCTAACATCTTATGCATCGCATTCCGGCCTTCATGTGAGATTACCCTAAGACAAATGCGTATTTAGCAAATTCTAACACAGTGAGCCTTATTTTTTACCCGAGTAAAAGATATTTTATTTTTTGTTTTATAAACTATGTAGAATGTTAGAAAAGTATTTAACGGTGCCGCTTCTGCTCCATGATATCTAAAGAGGGCAGGTTACTGAAAAAATGTCGATATAAAATTCAATAGTCATAGCACCCGATACTTAGCTTGTGTAAAAAATACTACGGAGTATGTAACATTTTTGGACATCAATGGTGATATGAGACAATATAATCAGCTTTATTGATGGCATATTTACTTGAACCAAAAAATATGATGAAGTAAAAAATGAATACGTGGATATGAGCACCTTTCAAATAAAACATAAAGAACGTAACAAATACAAATCTTAAGCACAATCTAAATGAGATCATTTAATTGTGAAAATCAACCAACAAATAAATTCTAGTTTTGTGATTGGGGTGTACTCGCTAAAAATCACTACAATAAAATAGATATATAGAGGCAAGACATAATTGCCTCTAAAAATATAAATGTAGCCTCTAATGGGTTTTAGGAGCAATTTATTGGTTGCCCCAAAGGTGTCTCTAAATAATCCGTCCCTAAATCATGATTGCCTCTAAAACCACATTTAGAGACAACCAAAGATGTGATGCGAAAAAGGTACATATTAGAGGCCAGGCAACCATAATAACTCGTCTCAAAATGTTATTAGAGACAACCAACATATCCGTCTCAAAATGTCATTAGAGACAACCGATTTTCACTATCCCTGATTACAATTAGAGGCAACAACAATATATTGACCCAAAAACCAATTGGAGGCAATGTGATATGCTGCCACTAATAGTTTTTAGATGAAACTCATTTTTATCAGGAAAGCTTTTATAGAGCCAATCACATATTGGCTTCAACAATGTGAATTTGATGGTAAATAAGAAAGTTGAATGTATATTGTATAACTCCAATTCAAACAGAGTTTAAACATTCACTAACAAAATTGCATAAATTACATAGTTAAGTGTTTAGAGCTAATCTACATATTTCAGTCATTGAACACTTCTAAATGCTAATTTCTCTCTTACTAAACACTACAAATTAATATATACAAATAAAAGCCAATGACCAATGCACTTCAAATAAGTCTTTATCTTCTGTTTGCCCAATCACCTTCATCTTCATCTGCTTGACATATTATAAACAACAAATTAATAGTTCATAACTACCAAAATAATATGAATCAGAAGTAATTAAATTAATCTTATTAATTTTACATCATGATCAACTAAATGAAAAACAAGTGAAATAAGAGCACATAGACATACATTTTGTAGTAGTTGGCCTAGAATTCCCTTATTCACTAAACAAAATCAATATAAAACCATGATATACTTCTGTACTAAGTCTAATATTATCAATTTGCTCCTACAACCGTTGTTACCTATGCTATGGCAAAACTTGGCTATTGGGGTCCAAGGTTCACTAAATACAAATATTTTAAAACCATAACATATTTTTTTACTAAAAGTTGTCTTTGATAGTTTTGTACACCAAAAGTTTATCTATAAGATTGTAGTGTTTAGACTTAACTCTTAAGTGATGATGCCAAATATATATCCATCTTATCAGCACTACTCAAATTTAAATATTTCAAATATGTGTGTCAAAAGATATAAGACTCAAAAGATCCACTTCTACGACAATCATTAATACTACTCAAAGAATAAGCCCGATTTGATTGTGAACTCTCTGTTCTTAAAGAGTATATAAAGAATAGTGCAGCAAAGAAAACCAAAGCATATGTAAGCTTCAAATCATTAGTGCCAATGATAGAGCTGTAAAATTGAAGCTTCAAGGGGAATTTGGTGAGACTAACAAAAAACTATAGAAAGCCTAAAAAGTCACAAAGAAAGAGGAGACGTCGGGTCCACCAAACTCTAGATTAAATTTCACTATGATAAATTAGTCTGCAATGTGTATATAAAAGCATGATATTAAAGAAAAATTTCTATTCAAAATTCAGCTAATTAGCATCCATTAGAAAAATTTAGAAGGCCACACATTATAAGCAATCAATTAAAAAAAAAACTAGTAACAACAAAGATAAGTGGCCAATATATTGGGATATCCTTTCCAATATCTTCATATGTAGAATTTGAGAGGCTCTAGGACTTGCCATCTTCCACAATCCAGTCATGCCCTGCTCTAAGAGTTCTTTGTGTCCCATTTAGTCAGAATTTGCAAAAAAAAACTATATAAACTTTCACAATTTTATTGTTAATCTAGGTGAGAAAAGAAGTTTGAAATTCAATTATTTAGGAAAACAAATGTTCAATACAAATTTCCACAAACAATCAAAAGAAAATAGGTACTCCATAAAATAATGCACTTACATAGCAAACTTTCACTAAATCAACAACAACAACAAAGTAAATAAAATAAAGTCAGAGTAGAAGTTTA